CATTACTGTGGACATTACCATTGATGCTCATGATTACTTCATGAAGTGTCAAACCAAATAGTGCTTCTAAAATCAATAAAAAGATAAACACAGCGAGCCAGCTCACATCTAAAGCAAACATTTGCATCCACAAAGCCTACACAATGCCCAGACGTATTCCTGCTAGCGTTCGATGTATACCTGCATACCTCAGATGCGATAACGTCAAAAAGGCAAATTGGAAGCTACTGCAATGAGTGCCAAGCCCATGTTGCACTTAAATTTAAGCAAAAATGAGACTAGGAGAGTTTGAAGGTGGTGGTCAAGACGTCACCCGCGGTTTAAAGGTTAAAATACTGCATGAGAATCGCTTTATGAGAACGCCTTAGCGCTCCTGATTGCCAGATGCCTACTAAAGTCTCAGATAAACAATGCCTCTATTGTTAGTACAGTGGTCACGCTTATTATAATTGTTATATTTTAGCTTTATGTGATTTTAAGGAAGAGGATAAGAACGCTGCGTCTGTTTAATATTTATAATTGGATAAAAGATATGAAAACTTACCACATGAAGATGGAAACAATCTGGAATAAATCTTAGTATGGTACAAGAAGGTAAAAATTAGCTTAAGGAAGTATTGGAATAACGTGGATTCCTAAAGATTTCTCGAAAAGTTTCTCCTCCATTTTGAAGATTTAAAGTGTTGGAAAATGTGTGTAGAGGGTTGAGTGCATGGCTAGTCAATATTTCATGAGTGAAAGAATCTGGCATTGAATTGATCAGCAAAAATGAGAAAAACCAAATTGATGAAGACAGAGATGCATTGGAATTCAAAAATACAACTACTGCGTTATAGGAATTGAATCGAATTTCAGTCAAGTTGAAAGGAAGATTGAGTGCCTCGACCATCATAGATACTGAAAATTGAGTATTCTGAAATCGATTGTTCATTTAGATATTCAATATTTTAAGTGTAAGCTATGCTATTTGGGATGAGTGGAGATATTAATGACAACCAGTCTATTAGCAGATTAATCAAACAGGAAGTATTTCTTGGAATGCCATAGTTTCCATTGAAACTTTCATGCAAGTGAATGCAAACTTCCACAATGATAATTTGCGCCCAGTGTGATTGCTAACAAAGCTTCTAGCAAAATAACTTCGGAAACAAAATCCTCCTAACTTAACTCTTTTTCTTCCATTAAATTTCCTTTTAAAATCAGTCAACATCAATTCCAAGACCAAACTTCCCTACAATTAAAATGATTATATCAATTATTTGAAAATAAATATGAGAAAATTGTTGAAGTCATAATGACTCCGAGCACGGCTAACTTGGGCAATCTTACAACTTCCGAAGTTTCCTCTATCACCACTGCAAAATTAGCTAATTGGCTTACCTACGCTTCTAAGAAATCTGCATGTCGCAGTCATCATTTTAATCATTCAACAACTTGGACGCACTGTAATGCCATCTGAGGTCTAAGTTCACATTAGGAAATTAAGTTCAGATGTCTCTTAATTGTTAAGGTGTTCATGCAAACAAAACATTTACAAATCTAATTTTCCAAACAGGTTGACTCAGACGCTTGTGTGAGGCTGCTTTGTTGGTCTGAGAAACTAATCTAGGTCACCCCAACCTGTGCGTCGCTTCGATGTAGTACACACACATTTACGCACTCCATTAGATTAATGTGTGCACATGGAGACTTTCTATTGGTTGTGGTGTCGCCCAATAAAAATAGGCTAGCATCACTATTGGTGGAAAAGTGATTCAATCATAAATTCCTGAGTTACTGATGTGCAAATGTCAGATGTTCGATTTGGGGGACAAAATATCAGCACCACTTAATCAATTTAAGGTGAGTTAATTCTTATTTAAACCTATTTTTGAAGATCTCTACGAACTTTAATATCATGAATTACCTTTATGCTGCTTTATTTATATGCTTAAATAATCCATCATATAATGTAAAGTCAAAACAAGAGAGAACAATTTTTGCGTATTTTTTTCTAAATACGCCATTACTTCATTAAAAAATCCTTTTTTGCAAAACTCAGCCAAACGTTTTTAGTCTTTTCATATAATTTTCAATTAAATTTAATCTGGAAGATGTACTGATGTGTAGAGAGAACTAGAGTACAAGTATTTTGCAAAAGTTCATTATATTAAAGTACACATACTCGGATTAATCATGAGTCAATTCCCATCATTACAGAATTAGGCTCAATTAATCATTCTGATTGAATCACACTTCAACTATTGATTATGGAATTCATTTTAATTTCTTCAAAAAGTTTTTTTCTTCATATAAAGAATTTGAGCTGTATTGAAGTTTCCAATCCACCATTTCTATGGAGAGCTAATTAACTTGTACAATGTATCATCGTTTAAGTAAAAATGCTTTAAAGAAACTCCAAAGATTTCCTAATTATGAAATCGATACCTATATTATTCCTTGATTAGAATAAGTCTTTATTAGTTAATCCCTTCTCAATATGGATCCTCTATATCAGTTGATTGGGATATTAATGGAAACTTTCCACATCAATACCAAAAAGCCATTTCACCAAACAAACAATTCAGGGGATTGAATGAAATCGAACTTAAAAACGTGACAACTTCCTTATATCGAACACAACAGTTTATTTGAATGCTTGAAATATTGATTTGTTCAGTTTTGCATAAAAAGTAAAAACGGAGGAAAACATTTGATTGTTTCAAAGCTCAATTGTGTCTTTTTCAATCTCTTGGTTCCTGTGTGAGTCGATCTCCGAGAGTTTTAGTGATTGTCCTTCATGTGTCTAAAGATAATAAATAAATCTCACGTTCATTGAACCCGCAAATGTTTCATTTTATAGTTGATTGATGCGTGAAAGCAAAAATCAAAAAACAAGTTCTGCATTCGTCCAGTTGTCGTCTAGATATCATTATTTGTCTGTCCGCGAGAGGGGTCAATAGGACAACACTCGGTTTATGATAACTGTGAAACACCAGATTCTACTTTGCCGGTGTACTTGTTACGTATTTACTATTCGTGGGTTTTTGCCTTGGTTTATAGGTAAAAGCTTAATTGCAAAAATAATGATTAAATTTTGTATTAACCGCCAGATTTGCAAAATATTCATGTTCTAAGCTATGAAATAGCAATTCACTTGGATATTGGGCTTGCCAAGAGGTAATCATGCTAGGCATCTGTGTGGATTGAACCGTTACATTTCAAAATATTTCTTTTATGCTCAAAAAGGCATAATTTACAGGGCTGGATTGCCTAAGAAGCAATTCAATTTAAGGCATAAAGATGATTAAATTTATTTCTTCTGGGTATTTTTTTCTTCAGAAATAATTTCTTAATTTCTGTCTCATTGTCTTGTCGATTCTCATTATTGAATGACCTTTAACAATAGCAAACAATGGTGAGTAGTAATACAATTCAATTAACAGTAAAATTAGCAAAAATAGATCATATATTGTGAAGCATTGAATCTTTACATTATTCATGCCATGCTGAATGGCTATAGTAAGTTGTTTCGCATCATACAGCTTAATTTCCAAACTCGACTCCAAATTGAAAGTTTATGTCGTCGTAAATAAGACTTTTACTTTAATTCAGGCTTTGTCAAACTGAGTGTTCGATTACCACCTCATGGTACATTTTCCTTATTTGTCAACAATGAATGGCTAATTTATACAAATTACAATGTTAAACAACTCAAAGTTTAATCAGAATTAATGCTCTTTAGTGCCACTAAACACTGCCACTCTGATGAAAGATACTTCAAATTGACAAAATTACAACAATTCTTGAATTTCATGGATCACGTAACTTTAAAGTTCATGCAATTTAGAGATTTGAATTTCTACTTTATTTAACAAGGTGGAGGTGTGAATATCATAAGAAATTAGTTCTGTCTTATATATTTTAGTAATATTTGGAGATTATTTTCCAAGTAAACTATTGTCGCAAGCCAATGTCATATTGGGCCTTTGTAATTATATGAAATAAAGAACAGATTTCGATAAATCATCGATAATGAAGATTGACTTTAGATTGATGACTCATCGTCAATTGAAAGTTAATGACTGGAAACTGTTGCATGCTCACCCCCCCCCCCATTTGAATCACGGAATTGAAAACCATTTTTTTAAAAGTTGCAGCCAATTTCGATCTCCATGAGCATTGAATTTCATTCATATTCTGCTTGTGTTATCCGACATTTCACATAGCACTTAAAATTCACCAATCAGCAGTATCATAGTATATACACTTGAATTGTTCAGGTTTGAAAATATGATCTTCGCACTTATTAAAATTGAATTTGTTCTTTTTTAGAAATGATTAACAGTTGATCTAAAACGTATTAAGTGGAAAGTTAATTTCGTTGGCTTTTCTTACGGTCAGAATTCGTACTTGAATTGCACGAAACTTTGTTTTTTTGTAGTATATGCATTATTACTGTCGGTAGCTTTTCTTATTAGTTTTAAGTTTATTTTCAAGGCCATAGATCTTATCGGTAGTTGTAATGATGGTTTCAAACGTTTCAGTACTTTAAATGCAAAAATTGGGACATTTAGAGTTTTCTTGGATAAGGCATATGAAATTATTGTTGCTAAGCGAAAACAATGACACTTGAAGAAGTCATTCTGCCTGAATAACCAAAAATGTATAAATGTTCCATCCCTTCAACTCCATATGTCACTCGAATTTTTAACTCAACGAAAAATTAAACTTCCTCGCCTGGCATTTTTTCACATTTTCCTACACAATTTGTATGTTTCTAGGTCTCAAAGAGATAGTTTTTTCAAATACGTGCATTGTTTTACCAAATTGCACTGAAAGCCATTGCCAGGCATAGTGAAAATCAGTTTTCTATGAAGAAAAGACAACGCTGATGTGTTTTTTGAACATGAATATTCTTCAAATTATAGTCTCCACTTTTTTGTATTTAATAACAATGATGTTTTAAATATTTTGCTACTTCACCTTTTAGGACTGTTTGCTCTATACGGATAGTCAATATGTTGCTTAGGATTTTCCTATTCGCGATCCTCATGGCACTGGTTCGGTCTAAACCTAGCCTAATAGACAGTCTTACAATTAGAATTCCATCTGAGCCTGAGGAGGAGAAATTGCATTTATCCGAACCTAACCCCCTCTTCTTTGGTGCTCCTCATCGGCCTGTTTCCACTACTTCAACAACTACACCAACTCCCCCCACACCTTCAACCACTACGAGTACAACTACAATGACCTTGAAAACGTCAATGCTTTCGAATAGGCAGCCTCTAAAAGTAGATGCTTCTAATAAATCATTGTCTAACCCAACGTGTCCTGGTATTATTTGCTACACAATGGCCATTGCGAATAGATCCACACTCTTTGACTGTACCGACTCACTTCCTCAGAATACGATTATAAGTCATGAATTAGATTGTAAATACTGGCAACCTCCTAGCACTTCCCTAATTCCAATTACAGCTAAATTTTTTACTAATGGACCCAAGTCCATCACGAATTCCGCTAATCAAGCTTCCACTTTACGGATCGTATTAAAGCCAAGAACTGAGAACCCTAACTTGAGAATAACAGCAGATTCTATGGTACCCGGCGCCCTTACCCGGCTAGTTGAAGCAATCAAACTAAATTTAAGGCCCCTTTCGACCACCCCTATCAAACTGTCTCTAATTATGCTGAAGATCAAACGACTTGCTTATGAGGACTTAGCGGATATCTTTCGAATAGCAAATATAGGTGGATTGATTCTTTGGAATCCGGATTATTTGGAGGAGACCAGTTTCCTTCAGAATGCTGATAAGGTCTCCTCTTTCACAGAAACCTACGTACGATTAACTTTCTATTGTGAGACTGAAAATGATTTGCCAGCTTTTGGGCGCTTGTGGTTACCATGGCTAAGATGGCAAGTTAAATTTTTGCAATGCAGAGGACATTATAATTGCTATAGATGGCCTAGAGAAGAGAGGCTATGCTGCAATCAGGATAGGTGCCCAGAAACGCCGGGTTATGTAATAACTCACGCTGAAAAATTGTCGAAACGGAGACCTATTGTATCTCAGGTGCACCAACAACAAGTGCTTGATTTCTACTCATGTGAAACTGAGTCCGATTTGACCAATCCGCTAGTGGAATTGAGGAAACGTCACAACTGTTGGTCTATACCTGGCTATGGTGTGATGGATACATATCTTCGATCCCAAGAGCCATCAAGCACCACAACAGTTTCTTCCTCCGAGCCGCTTATTGATCTTATTCCAACAACGTCAGTTCCCATAGTGACTCCAAAACGGCCTATTTTTGAACAGAGTTCAGTTATAGACGAACTTGCTGATCACGCAAGAATGAGGAATTTGGTTATTGGTATCATTTGTCTCTTACTGCTTAATCTTCTCACATTCACTTGCTTTGTTGTTGCCTGCTGTTGGGCTTGGAGGAAGTTTGGTGCCCAACGTAAATCCAATGTACCGTCTGGTATCAGCGGAACATATGAAAAGCACGGTGAGTACTGATTTTGTGTCCCTTCGTTTCATTTGACACGTAGGTATACCATCAATTTTTTGCTAATAAATGGTAACTATTTGCACTCCAGAATACTATCCACGTTATGAGAACGAACTATGGTGGCGGAGGGTTTGTGGATATGGTAAATCCTAGATCGATGTTGTTCTTTGTTTAAATTCATGTGGCATATCTAATTACACCCACCCATTAATAAGCTTTCTAAACTGCGCACTTGACATATTTCATTTAAACAATGGATATATTATTTTCAGTTGAGAAAGCTAATTCAAATTTACCAACATTAATTGCAACCGTTTCGTCATTACAGTAAAATAATAAATCATTGCTAATTATCGATTTTCATGGTAGAATTATCAAATTCATCATCAGTTTGTTTTAATCTACTCATTTTGAAATAGTCTAAATCCTGCTAAAAGGCCTAAGAAAGCAACTGCTCAAAATCGACTGTATACAATGTATAAATTACTAGCTGTCAAACTATATTCTCAGAATGAACAAATCAGTTTATTTCATTTTATTCATCGACTTCAAGTTGAAATTAGAATAGTTTTGACATTAGTAAAAAAACATCACTTTCGTACCCGCGTATGTGAATCATTGCTCCCAAATATTAAATATTTACATAAACGTTCAAATGGATTAGTCGTTTTAATTTTATGCCATCTAATATTTAAAATTCAATCGTTAAAGGTAGTTTTGATTTTGTCTGTTTAGAACCTTTTAAATTTTAAATATTTTTTTACCGCTTATTCACGCTATATTCACATTTATTACTATTAGTAAAAACACTAAAGGTTTCTTAGCAACTCATTATGCAACAATTATTCAATAAACTACATAAGATCTACTGCATGTGTGGCTGTTGTGATATTTTTGACGCGGCTTTCCAAAGAGCATGTCAAATTTTGACTTATTGAATTTTCATGAATTTATGGGCTTTTTCGACATCTGTAAATCACAGCAAATATATACACACATATATGAGCCTTAGAATTGATGATTTGTAACCTTTTGATGTAGATAAAACGAACTTACCTAGGCGGGCGTTTTAATTAGCTGTTCAATGCTGAAAATCATGGCACTTAATAATTTATGTTTAATATTTTGCTTATCTCATTGAAAAAATATTCAGTTAGTATGAGCAATAGTATTTGAACTTCAGTAATCAGTTTATATCAGACTTTTGCAGCAATTAAAATTTTGAGGATTTGTCTGTGATATATGTTGTGATTTACGCTATTTGGTTCTATTTCCTTTCAAGAGTTGACTTCTTTATCACAGTTGTAGTGGATAATTGAATTTTACATCAACTGCCAAGAACGAATATTTTTAATCAATTTTAATTTGGCTTTCAATTGCTTCTTCAAGAATTTATTTAATAACAGAGAAAAGTAAGCTAATATCTATTTTATGGAGTCTTTAAATAATTTTTTCTATTACCTAGTACATTTATGGGTAAAGATTTCGCTATTGTACTAAGATAGATTTTATTTAATGCTCAATTAATTCAAATTAAATGCATTTGTTGCACCAAGACAATTTCATCAATTTGTACAGCTTTTCCACTTTGGTTCAATGCATTTAATTTAGTTGCTTACAACTGCGTAATACATAAATACACGTTATCATTTTCATTGCTTATTGGCTGCACACTAGTTTGCATTGAGAAATATATTTATCGTTTTTTTTCAGTTCTTTCTAATTTTCGGAATCCTAAAAGCCCTTTTTGACGCATCACTCATGTGATCGGTGATGCAGTAATACCATATAATACGGTTCCCCTCACTCAACTTTAACACTTACTTTCATTTTTACGACCATCGGATATCAAAATTTTGACAGTAATTGATTTATTATTACTTTATAGAAACAAAATTTGCAAAACACTGTGATGATGTAAAGTAAAGTCAAAATTATATCTCCTCTGTGGAATATTTTCTGGTTGATCTGAAGCCAATTTTATCCTCAAAGCTAATTGTGCAAGTAGTTTATAAACTCAGGGGAGACATAGTTTTACCAGTGGAAGGAGGGCGGGGGGGAGGAGGGCTTCTTAGCACATAAATTATTCTAAACATCACTATAATTTGCCTCATTTTTCTTGAACAAATTTCAGATAACTCTGGTTCAGAAATGGCGTCAACGCCACTCTTTTCGCGTAGTGGAGTAATAAGTTCATACGAGCAAACACCTGTAATGGGATCTCGTGACGCTTTGCTGCCGGGTAGTGCTACACCAGCAAGCCTTCGCGTAAATAACGGTCGACCTCCAACAGGTCGTAACAGTTTGACAACCAGAAATAGCCATCCGCACACAATTATATTCGAGGGAGAAGCTGCTGACAACTTGAGTCCTTCTCACATATTCCCTCATGGACATTATGTCTGAAGACTGTCTCTCCTTCCCCTCTCCTCTCCTCACCCCTACCCAACCCCCCCCTCCCCNCCCCCCCCCCACCTCTAAGGAGTTCGAAATCCTTTCATTATTTCGTTTGAATTATTGTCCCTCAACCGACGTTATCCACCAAGTGCAATTTTATTTGTACAGTCGCCGCCAATTGCTAATTTCCACATAGTGATGTCTGATGATTTTTATCCGAACCCTTGACCTAGTGTTTAATTTGATTCGACTTCCAATTAACGTATCTTCTATGTGCCTACAAAAAAAGAAGAATTCGAATTTATACACACAGATATGAATATATTTATACAAATATGAAGAGCGTTTCATTTATATTTTTTCTGTTTTTTTTTGTCTTAGAAGCCAATACTTGAAATGACCGAAGTTAAATTACATCGGAGAAATCGACTGATTGGGTAGATTTTGGCCACTAAATATCCGGGTGTTTAATTGTATTTCACAGCGCGCCTACGTCATATCAGTGAGAAATTATGCGAGATGATTTACAGTAACGTATTATTCCCTATAACAATGCAATAAATTCCGGTTTTAATAAAGTGATAGCTTCAAATTTCGTGAAATTGCAGATTATTCAGGTAAGAGTAGAAAGGGGACATATATGCAAGTTTGGATTGCTCATTAGTTCTCATAAGGGATATAGATTGCAGTTAAATATACAAAAATTTAAAAATTTCAAGGCAGTAATTAAAATAATAAATTTTAGGATAATTTACAGTGATTAACTTTAATCTTCATTGAATCACAAAGCGAGAGTTTTGAGGATTGCAACACTACTGAAGTTTCACTTATCCTCGGTAATCCCTCCCAAAAAGAAAGTTAACTATCGCCATGTAATAGACGAAGCAGGTTTGTATTCAATTACTAACCATGTTTACTGTGATTATGGAAAATTGAATAAAATTAGCCTAACTTGAATGAACCTTAATGGCTGACTAGCTGTGAAGTCTTTTGTACGCATAGCCGCACCACCCAGAATGTTCGGGTGCGTGCAGTTTAATTGTGTTCTACAACAGTCATGATTAACAACAGCATTACGAACATGGGAGATTTCATTAAAGGTTAACAGAGTTCGGTTTAAATTAGTTCAACATTTAAGAATTTCAATCAATTCGGATTTAGTCCGCCGCACATATTGCCCATAATTTGTTTGTTTCTGAGTTATTTTGAATCAATAAAGCATATGGCTTGCTAAAGTCTTTCATATTTTGCAAGAATTGTTTTTGTTTAATTAAAAAAACATAAAGAAAGTTGTCTACTAAATAAAAGAGTAATTTTTCCTAATCCTATTAACAAGCAATGCAATTAAAAAATCAAACAATATACAAATTCACGATCTTAAAGTGCGTTTTAATTATTCTTTGTTAAATATATGTATTCATTACAGCAATAAAAAGCCATCATTTACCCCAGAAAGAGAACCGTGAATCCTGATTGGCGTAACGATTTAAACAATTTATTTAAACGATCGATAAAATTTGAGGTGTACTCACTTAGGTAGCAATTTGGTACACTAAGAACCCTTGAATTATGCTCAGGTATCTTTCTAGAAAGTTCTCCAAGTTTGGAATGCCTCCTAGGAATTATCTACCCTACCTCAACAACATAGAGGAATCAGGCGCATGACGTGGAACGCGTTTATTTTTGATTGTGTCTGTCATAGAGCTTAGCCATTCAAATACAATCACGGATTTGTTAAACAATGCAAAGGACTATGGATTGGTGGTTGGCTAAGAGGACTCTGTGCTCACGACCACACTTGCTCCCGACGCGACATGTAATACGGCCGCACATTCGAGTCGCAATAAGAGCAGAGAGTCATTTGATGGTGTAAAAATCGATGATAAACTGAAATCCTATTTTGTACATTTCACTCCTCCATCGAATCGCTGTCCGTCTAACTGTTCTTAGCGCCTGGTGGCTTTACAATGAAAGCATACTTCCCGCAGTATAATTGGTAATGATGAAATTTGTAAATGGGAAAAACATGGATTCGATTCCTTGCGAATGCTTTCACGCTTAATTTTAGTTTCCGAGCAATTCAGGAAAGCTGAAAATTAACCAAGATAATATCATTTTCCTCTGCATGGACTCAATTGCCACAGCCCTTGAGCTCGATGTGCTCACATTTGTGACCTTTAAAACTGCACAAACACCCCTACTTTTGGCCAATTGTGACAACTTTCAAATATTAAAAAGTTTTATCAAAATCAATAAAGGAAAGAATGAGGTTTTCAAAAGGAAGTACACTGCTTCATAAATTTCCAACTTTGCCGCACACACACATACAGACACACATAAACTTTAACTAATTTTGTTTCCACTCAAAATTAATTTAACAAACTTGGATGCAATATTGTCGAATATTTCCAGAATATTTAAACATATTGGCTGAAATTGCACCACAATGAATCCCAAAGTCGTATATTAACAGTGCACAGTTACTGAAATATTTCACACAAAACACAGGAAAGCAAAACTTTCCTGTTTTAAAAGAAATTCGAGTAAAAAGTGCCCATTGATTGTGGAAGTATTTATTTAAACAAGAACTCATCTCACATTCCACTCGTATTACAAATACGCATGTGAGAAAATTGCTTTGAGTTCGAAAATTTTGTCAACACCTCTCCCAATGGGTTTGGAAAATAATGCACCATGTTATAATTGAGTAACTTAAAATGGCATATGAATCTACTGGAATAATGGATATGAGGTAAGTGGGCAGGGAAGCATCAAACGGAAGGAAGCATGCCACAGTGATCACTACCAACCCCCACAAAATTTAACCTAATGGGAAGCACTTCTCCCATCCTAGCCTATTCATTGATTCAAACTCGGCGCCCATGTGGAAGCCTCTGAAGGGATTTAGAGTAGTCTACTTGCAGTTATTTAGTGCTTGCTAAAAAACATATTTCCGTGGTCGGGCATGTCAGATCATTATATCTATTATTTAGTTATCATGCTCTAATTGTACTTCAATCACTTCAATCCACTTCAGTTAAATTTTTATAAAAATGGGTGTGCGATAAACTTACCTCCACGTGGTGCACCCTGAGCAATGTTTACTCATACGGCAAAAAAGTCTATCAACCGGCAGTTGAATTCTCACTTCAAACTACCATCACCCAACTGTATGGCATATTCGGCTTCTTCCACATTAATCACCTCACCTTTTTTCTAACTTTGTGTCTGTTTCTTTTACATCTTTGAAACATTCTTCCATCCCCCCTCTCGACTATTGTCCTCCCCCCTCTCTGTCAAGCCCGAAATCAGCTAAAGGACTAAATAAATTTTTAAAAAATCACGAATTCCGCTCAATCTATACTTTCTGCATTTCTGGCTGTTTTTTGCAATTTGCCAAATGAAGCTATTTACCAACGATTTTTTAAACGACTCGCAATCTCTAATGGAATTGAGTTGGTCCCAAACCACAGTGACATTGCTCTCTTGCGGAAAATCCCTTGGTATAAGTGATAAACCGAATTGGAATTGAATAAACTATTGTGATAATAATTCTTTTAAGGGCCTTTGAAAGTTTGTGATGCACATAGAGCGTTAGTATTATTTGCCGAATTATTAAAGGTATTCACACACACACACACACACACATACACACACACACACACACACACATACACATACGCTCCCCATCCTTTGAAAGCCTAAATCATTCTTCATTCACGTACACGACGACAAGGCGAATGGTTGACTGGAACACCCTTAAATCATGAATGGGGTAAAAGCTTTTGCATTGGTAGGCAGAGATCCAAAATGATCACCTAGGTAAGAGGATTGTGATTGTAAACAGATTTTCCTGAAAATTTTAGGAAAAAAAGAGTTAGGGCCTGTTGGCATCGAATTTCTGGTACTTTTGAGCGGACTGTATGGAGGGAGAGAGGGGTTGACAGCACTAATAGCTCTGTTAATTAAACGGATTAAAGCTGCCAGTGAGACCCTTCCCAAGGACCGCAAAAATTCAGCTTACTTGAGGTTCCCAGTCCAGATTGAGACTTCAATAGCGATTATTAATGGTACGACACTTGGTAAGGGGTGTCATTTTATCTCTGGAGACTGTCATGCTTATTCCAAATTAAAATTGCCAAAATTTAAACAAATTAGAATTTTATTGAATTTCAATCCTTAGCCGTTGTTTCCCGCATGACTATTTTGCTATGAGTGGACGGGGTGTGCGATAGACTTACCTCCACGTGGTGCACCCTGGACAACGTATATTCATACGTCAAAAAAGTCTATTAACTGGCAGTTGAATTCTGACTTCAAACCCCACTGTATGTCATATTTGACTACTTCCACAGTACTCATCTTGCCGTTTCTTTGCCTTTGTGTCTGTCTGTCTCTTTTACATCTGTGAATCATTATTCTGCCGACTTTTTGTCACTTTAATGTCCCTCCCCCTCTCTGGTAAGCCCGAAGTCAACTAAAAGGCTAATGATAACTATCAGAACGCCTTCCATTTGAAATAAAAATTATTTTGCTATGAATCCTAATAAGACCCACGAATATTTCTTCTGGACGTTACTTTGGCTAATAATGATTCCGATATAAACAAGGGTATTAAATGAAAACGTGGAGTTGGAAATATTTATTTATTTATTTCAAATGGCAGGCTTTATGATATTTATCTTGCTGTCTTCTTGCTTCCCAGTATCTCTGGCTTTCCGTCGTTGTCTATAGGGTTGGACACCGAATCAGGTGAGTCTTCTCCATTTCCTCCTGTAGGTTACATAGAGGGCATGTGGGTTGAGTGTATGTTCCCAATCTGTGAAGGTGTTTTGCCAAGCAATAGTGTCCGGAACGAAGCCTAAACTCAGCAACGGCTTCGATTCTTGGCCAGTCGGCTATGTCGGAGAGTGACACTGTCCACTGTTTCTCCTTTGTTCGAGCTTTGAGTTCGTTGCACCTTGAGGTCCTGAATTCTCTTCTGATTAACGCCTTCATTGTGTTGAAAG